GTGCCGCCCTTCCTTCTTCCGCCCTCCTGGCCGCCCGCCGTCGAGTACCCCGAGGCCGGGGCGCTGGGCCGCCTGGAGGCGCAGGGCGTGCCCCCCATCTCGGCGGCGACGACCGGGGGCGAGCAGTTCGCGGGGGGGGCGGGCGTTGCGCGCATTCGCCCGGGAGCCTCACCGAAGGCGTGCACCATCGGCGCCCCTGGATACATGTACTCCAGATTTCGTAAGAAAAGGGACGGGGGTCTGGACCCTCCAAGGACAAGCCACTTCAGACCTCCCCCGTGGGAGAGCCCTCCAAGACATCGTCCCCAGACCCCCCAGGCCCTCCAAGATAGCCTGGAAGAGACCCCCCCCCGAAATGAGACCCCCCTACCTTTATTACGAAATCTGGAGGACTGCCCCCTCCTGGGGCGATGCCAGATTTCGTAAGAAAGGGAGGGGGTCTCATTTCGGGGGGGGGGGGGGGGTCTTTTCCAGGCTATCTTGGAGGGCCTGTGGGGGGGATCTGGGGACGATGTTTTCGAGGGTTCTCCCAGGGGGGGGGGGTCTAAGACTTCTCGTCTGGGAGGGTTATTCCGAAATCTGGAGTACATGGACTGCCCCCTCCTGGGGCGATGCGCCCCTGTCGTCGCCTCCGACCATCCGGCGGCAGGAGGCCCTCCGGCCGAGGCCGCTGCCTCGGGGGCTGCCAGCGGCGCCCCCGGCCCAAGTCTTACGTCGGGCACGTCCCTCTGCAGGAGGAATACATATATATATACACATACATACATACATACATACATACATACATACATACATACATACATACATACATACATACATACATACATACATACATACATACATACATACATACATAGGTGTATATATATATATATGTATATATATGTATATATATATGTGTGTATGTACCTATGTATATATACATATAAATAAACGTATAAATAAATAAATAAATAGATAAATAAAAGAGCAGTTTGAAGTCGTCTGGGGACGAAGTTGTTTGAGCATGTTGAGGCTGCTTCTGAATCTGTGTTTGTGCTTCTCTTTTCGTTTCCCGCCCGAATCCGCCCGTAGGGGGACACGCCCGACCCAGTTCAGGGCGAGGAGACGAGCACATGGAGTGAGGCAACGTGGGTTCGCGACGGGTGCCGCTTCCGTGCGAGAGCGCCGTGCTCCGTCGCTGAGTCAGGGCGGCATGGGCCTCACGTTCCGGAGGTGCCTTCCCCGATCGGTGGGTCTGGTGCCCGCGCGCCAGATCCACGGATCCCAAATCCGTATCAGCGTGCGCCCGACCGCGGTCGGCGGCGGGCGGGGGGGGGGAACTTCGAGGTCCGAGCTTCGAGGTGCGCACTTCGAGGTTCGAGGTCCGGGGCTGTGCTTCCCTAGTTTTCGGCCTCTCGGGGCCGTCTGCGGGCCCCAGGCCCCCCGAAATTCGATCCGGGGTGAAAAACCGCGTCGGATGGACCCCGGGAGGGATCCGGGGACCGATTTTGACCGATATTTGGCGGCGCGCCCAGGGGGGGAAGTGAGAAGGAGAAGGCCTTCTCAGAAGGCGGCGGGACTTCACGGAAGCCCTCGCGCTCTTGTTGCGTCTTGGTGGACGGCTTAAAAAACTTCTCAGAAGACCCGAGGCCTTCCGAGCCTTCTGAGAAGGCCCGCCCCTTCTCACTTCCCCCTGGGCTCGTCGCCGACAAGATGCGGGGCGGCGGGGGGCAGGGAGGGGGAAGAAGCCAGGCAGGCCACGGACGAACCACGTACGAATCACGAGCGCACAGGATGGGGGGGGCAGCGAGACAGGGAGAGAGAGGCCAGGAACGCCAGGACGCACCACGAACGAACGAGCCACGAACGAACATCGAAGGTTCTGCGCCCCCCCAGCTTGTCGCTCAAGTTTGAAGCCCCTGGGGCCCTCCCGGCCTCGTGAGGGGTTCTCTGGAGGCCGTGGAGGCCTCCCCCTAAATCCTGGGGGCACCTTGGGCCAGGGGCACTTGTGGCAGCACCCGATCTGCCACCGACCACTGGGCCGCCGCGCGGTCCTGGCGATCGGGGCTCACGAGACGGGGGTCGGCCAATCCCTCAGCTCCGGGCGTTGCAACTTTTTCGCACCAGGCGTTTTTTTTGCCCGTTGTCGGGCCCCGGGACCTGCACAGATCGACCCGGCTCGAAGGATGACGCAGGACGATGGGCTCCAGGGCTGCGGTCGCGATGTTCTGGAGCAGGAGGAGGAGGAGGAGGAGGAGGAGGAGGAGGAGGAGGAGCAGGCGGAGGAGGAGGAGGAGGAGGAGGAGGAAGAGGAGGAGCGAGGTTGCCTCTGGCTGCAACGTCAGAGCTCAGGGAGCGGGGGCCAGCGCTCACAGGCGTCAGCCAGCCCCCGCTGGCCGACCTTGGGGCTGGGGGCCACGTGTGGCCTCATCCTTTTTTTCCTCCTCCTTTCCTCCTCCTCCTCCTCCTCTCCTCCTCCTTTCCTCCTCCTCCTCCTCCTCCTCCTCCTCCTCCTCCTCCTCCTCCTCCTCCTCCTTGCCTCCTCCTTTTCCTCCTCCTCCTCCTCCACTTCCTTCCTCCTCCTTTTCCTCCTCCTTTCCTCCTCGTTGTGCCCGCCCCCTCCGCCGACCCGGGCTGTTGGGAGCCACGGAGCGGCCGGCTGGGCTTCGCCACAGGGCCCTGGCCGACTCGGGCGCCTGTGCTGGCACGGGTCGGCGCGTCCCCGAGGCGAGTCCGCCGTGACCCTCGACGTGGGGCGCAACCTCGCGGGCGTGTGCCGGTACCGGCTCGAGGGGCCGAGCGGGGCAGAGGTCGGGAGGAGGGGCGGCGGAGACGACGGCGGCACCCCCCCCCAGACCTCCAGCCTCTCGAGGAGCCCGAGGCGGCTCAGTCGTGAGCCCCCCGGGGGCCCTCGCTGGGCCCCGGCGCCGCCAGAACACGAGCCAGGACGAAGAGCCGGCCCCTGGGGGAGGGGTCGGGGCGTGCGGGGCCCGCGCAGGGAGGAACGCGGGGCATCGGGCCCAGACGTGCGCCGTCCGGATCTTTCAGGGCGGCGTCCCTGGAAATCCCGGCCCTTTCCCTGGGACCGGTTTTTCCATCCTGAGTCGTTGTTTGACGGTCCCGAGGCCCGGCGAGGGCCCCCCGAGGCCGAAGCCTGGCAAAAAAACCTCGCGTCCTGATTTTTGTTCCGACGCGAGCATGTCTGGGGAAGTCTGGGTCCCTGGCGTTGCCTTTGTCGGTTGCTTTCTCCTTCGCGGCGTTTCGCTCGGGGATGACACCCCCCAAAAAAAAACCGGGCGAGTCCCGCGGGCGGGGCGCGGAGAGCCCGAGACCGCCCTGTCTGGAGGCGGTTCGGCAGCCGTGTCGCCGGAGACTTCCTCACAGTGTACTCTGGAATGGCATTATCGCGTCGATGCCGGCCACATTCCTGGACCCCTCGAATCATGAAAAAAACACGACGGCATTTGTTTCTTTACTTTCGGCCTCTGGGGGCCCTTACGGGGCCTCGAGACTGACCAAAAACGATTCAGGATGAAAAACTGGTCCCGGCGAATAGGTCCGGACCTCTGGGGGTCGCGTAATGAAAAAATCATGACCTCGGGGGTCTGGGTTTGTGGCCCGGACGGACCGGGAAAGTTTGTAGCCACCGCGTGCCGCACACAGTGTGTTTCTAACCACCTTGTGGTGTACAGTGTATGTGGAGTATATGTGTTGCAATCCATGTTGTGCCGGATACGTTGTGCATTCTATGTTGTGCAAGAATGTGGTGCCATCTATGTGGTGCAATTAATTTCTGTTCGCAGTGAGTTGTCCACTCCAGTGCTCGCGCAAACATCCCACCCACCCACCCGCAACTTGGTTTGCAAAATTTCTTAAGACGATGACGGTGGGTACCAAATGGAATTTGGCAACGACAGCGACGCCGACGACGACAGCGACAACGACGACGACGACGCCGCCGACAACGACTACGACGACACCGACGACGTCTCCAACGACTTCGACGACGCCGACAACGACGACGACGACGACGACGATGCCGACGACGACGACGACGCCGACGCCGACGACGACGACGACGATGACACGACGACGACGACGACGACGACAACGACGACACCGACGACGACGACGACGACGACGTCAACAACGCCGACGACGACGACGACGACGACGACGACGGCGGCGACGACGACGACGCCGACGTCGACGACGCCGAAGACGACGCCGACGCCGACGACGACGACGAAGACGACGACGACGTCGCCAACGAAGACGACGACGAGGGAGGAGGGAGGACGACGACGGCGACAACGACGCCGACGACGACGACGACGACGACGACGACGGCGACGAAATAGGAGGGACTACGACGAGACGCCGACGACGGACGACGACGACGACGAGGGAGGAGGAGGGAGGACGACGACGGCGACAACGACGACGGAAACGACTACGACGCCAAAGAGGACGACGACGACGCACACGAGGAAAGACAGAGGACGACGTAGGCGACGACGACGACGACGCGGGAGGAGGGAGGACGGCGACGACGACGACGACGACGACGACGACGACGACGCAAGAGCGCGCGCGCACGCTTTTGTTGAAAATCCGTGTTGCGAAACCTTGTGTTGTTGTAGGTTTTTCCGACACACGATGTTGAAATCTTTCCGAAATCGATGGGTTTTGAAGGATTCCGGCATACGGGCGCGACGACGCGCGCGTCTGCACTTCGTCCCATTTTGTGCAGAGGATTCTCGCGACGGCACACGCGCAAGGGCGTTCGACAGATTTCGATTCGCGCGCGCGCGAAGCCCGCTTGGTAGCATTTTGTGAAAATCTTGAAAAATCCATGGTTTTCTTAAGATTTCGCAAGAGCTCGCGCGTAAGCTTTTTTAGCAAATCAGTGTTGCGAAACCCTGTGTGTTTTTTTTCGTATGTTTCTTTGGAAACTCGATTGCGAAATCCTTCCGGCACCGAAGGCTTTTGAAGGATTTCAGCATGCGCGCGCGACGACGCGCGCGCGTGCACTTCGTCCCATTTTCTCCAAGGGACCGCAAAACAAGTCTTATGTTAGAACAAAAGATGTCCCCGCGCATTCTTTTTCACCAGGGAACCTCAGGGGGGGCGATACTGGCCCCCCTGGGATAGTGTAAATTCATATTTAGGATGGACATGTGGTCAGAGTCATAAATGATTTACATACCCGAAAGGGGGGGATAACGCCGGGGTGGGGGTAGAGTCTATTCTTTTTAGAAAGGAGAATTGACTATCCTGCGCCGCGCTTGACCACCACCACTGCTCGCGCATACATCCCACCCACCCACCCACCCACCCACCCGCAACTAGGTTTGCAAAACCCATGCGGTGGCGATTGCGATGCATGCTTGGCGTTGACCGGTGCATCCCTGCGGCCGCGCCAACCCTAGCACGCGCGCGCAGCGGCCAGCTAGTTTGGCGCCACCGACGCGGCCGCGGTGGCGTTGACCGCGGGGCGCATCCCAGCGGGCACTTCACTGCAAGTCGGCGACTTGGGCGGGCGCGGTATCATGGCAACGCCGACTACGGTAGAAACGATGACGATAGTGGCCATGCTTTTCACGATGTTCGCAACGACGAAAGCGCGGCCAGATCGGGCGCCGATGCTGATCGCGCCAACGACGATGACGGCGTCCTCGCGTCGGCGATGGAGGCATTGGAAAGAGTTCGACATGCGCGCGCGGCCGACGCGCAAGAGTGGCCCGCATGGTTTTATTTGACACGGATCTTGCCCCCCCCAGCACGCGCGCGAGGGCGCGCGCGTGATGTCGGCATGCGGCGCCAAAGGCCCGCTTAGCAGAATTCCACGAAGAAGCTGAAAAAAAAAACAAGCTATGGTTTTCTCAAAGATTCGCAAGAGCGCGCGCGCAAGCTTTCTTTGAAGACGGACGTTGCGAAATCTGGCGTTTCCAAATCAGGAGGGAAAAAACACACAGACGCAATTAATCGTCGATTCCCCAGAAAATATTGGAAAATATGGGAAGTGGGGGGGAAGACGAAAACGTAGAAAATATTGGAATATCGGGGATAGTTCCATTTGCGTGTATTTATTTGTGTCCTGGGGGCCCATTCATAAAGTTGCGCGGCCATTGGGTTTTGAAATCGGTGCGACACCTAAGGTTTATGAAGGATTCCGGCACGCGCGCGCGACCACGCGCGCGCGTGCGTTTCGTCGCATCTTGCGCAAAGGATTCTCGCGACGGCACGCGCGCAAAGGGGCTCGAACGATTTCGACATGCGCGCGCGAAGCCCGTTTCGTGGCATTTTCTGAAAATTGTTGACTAACCGATGTCTTTCATAAGAATTCACAAGAGCGCGCCTTTATATATATATATATATATATATATATATATATATATACACACACATATATATGTGTGTATATATATATATAATAATAATAATAATAATAAAAAAAAAAAAAAAAAACAAAAAAAAAAAAAAAAAAAAAAAAAAAAAAAAAAAAAAAAAAAAAAAAAAAAAAAAAAAAAAAAAAAAAAAAAAAACGTTCTGCGAAGACATATGTTTTACATGTTTTAGACGCTCGATGTTGAAACCCCTCCGAAACCGAAAGTTGTCGCGGGATTTCGGAATGCGCCGGCGACGACGCGCGCGCAATTTGCATCATGTTTGTTGCAAGGGGTTCTTGAAAATAAAATTGATGGTGCTGAATAAACGAGTGCGCGCGCATAGTATTTGTTTCACTGGATGGGGGGGGGTCGGCACCGGCTCGGCTGGAATGGAACGAATTCATGTATAGGATGGACGATAGGGCAGAATCGCATGTAAATTACAAAAATTGCAATACGAAAAGGGGGGCCGACCGATAAACCCGGGGGGGGGTCCGAATTTTTTTGCGGAGGGGGAATTCACCAATGATCAACTTGACGTCGCCCACTCCACTGCTCGCGCAATTGCCCCATCCTCGCGCAACTTGGTCTGCAAAACCCATGCGGAGGCGATTGCGATGAGCGCTTGGCGTGGGCCGGTGCATGTCTGCGGCCGCGCCAGCCCGCGCATGTTCGCGCGCGCTGCGGCCAGCTAGTTTGGCGCGACCGACGCGGCCGCGGTGGCGTTGACAGCGGGGGACATCCCAGTGGGCACTTCAGTGCGAGTCGGCGACTTGGGCGGGCGCGGTTTTATGGTAACGACACAACGGTAGACGCGACGATGAGCGCCGCGACGCCGGTGGCGATGTTGCCAACGACGACGGCGCGGCCAGCGACGTTGCCGATGCTGATCACGCCGACGACGACGACGGTGTCTTCGCGTCGGTGATGAAGATTTTGGAAGAAGTTCGACATGCGCGCTGCCGACGCGCTAGAGTGGCCCGCCTAGTTTTATTCGACACGGGTCGCGCCCCCCCCCCCCCCCCCCCCCCCCCAGCCCGCGCGCAAGGACGCTCGAATGACTTCGGCATGCAACGCGGGAGGCCAGTTTGCAGGATTCCATGAAAATTTTGAATGCCCCACATGGCTTTCGGAATGATTCACAAGGGCGCGAGCGCGGGCTTTTTTGAAAGCTGTTTTTGCGAAGCCACATGTCCTGCATGGTTTCGGGGCACTCGGTTTTGAAATTCACGCGAAACTTCTGGTTTTGATTGAAAGATTTCGACGCGCGCGCGCGTCGACGCCCGCGCGTGCACTCCGTTTCGTCGTCTTTTGTTTTGCGACGGGTTATTGCAACAGTGCGCGCGCAAGGGCGTTCGAACGATTTCGACATGCGCGAGCGAAGCCCGTTCGGTTGAATTCCATGAGCACGTTGGAAAGCCGATGGCTGTCTTAAGAATTCGCAGGGGCGCGAGCGCAAGCTTGTTTGAATATGGTGTCGCCACTATGTGGTTTATCTGTTTTTGTACTCGCTGTTGGAATCCGCGCGAAACCGAAGGTTGTTGAAGGATTCCTGCACGCGCGCGCGACGACGCGCGCGCGCGTTTCATCCCATTTCTAGCGAGGGGTTCTTGAAAAAAGTATGGTTTGTGATGAACGAGTGCGCGCGCATGATATTTGTTGCGTTGGATGAAGGGGGTCGATACCTGTTTAGCTGGGATAATGCGAGTCCTCATTTAAAATGGGCGATGGGGCAAAGTCATATGTAAGATGCAAATTGCAATACAAAAAGGGGGGCGGATCCGCGGCCATTTTGGCGCAAGATGGCGGGGTGGGCAGCAGGTCGAGTCCACGGGGCTTCTGTTCGCCGTCTCTCCCGTCACAGGAAAAGTCCGTTTTCCTCGCGCGCCTTCGGCGCGTCGTGGTTTCGCCGACCAAGGCGCCTGCCCGCCAGACTCCGCAGCCCCTCTGGGGCAGGCTGCCGCCCTCCCCGTGCGATGCCCATCCGTGGCGGCGGCGCTGGGCTAGCTCCGCTGCTACTCCCGCTGGCCCCCTTGCGCCTCGGGCTTCTGGCGGCCCCCCGGCATCCTCGGCAACTGGCGGCGGCGGCGACCCGCTGCAGCAGCCTGGGGGCGACCCGTGGCTCAACAAGCGCGCGAGGGGCCCGAACGGCGAGCCCATCCCGCGCACCCCCAGGGGGGAAGCACGGGACCCCATGGACGCGATCAACGCTGCCATCGCTGCCTCTCAGGAGTTCCTCACGAAGCAGTTGGACGTCAAGCTGGCCATGGTCAAGGGTGAGGTCATTGCCGACTTCGGCGAGCAGCTCCAGGGCCCGTTGGCGGCGGTGGCGGGCCAGCAATCCAAGCAAAATGAGCTGTTTAGGGGGGGGGGGGGGGGGGCATCTCATCGCTCCAGGACACGGCCCAAAGGCTGGAGGCTGCTAACAGGGAAATCTGGCAACGGCCCAACGACATGCGCAAGCAGCTCCACACGCAGGAGGCGTAGATCCCGATTCGTGGCTATGAGAACCTACTGGAGTGGGACAGAGACGCGGACACCAGCATCAGCGTGGGCACCGCTGCCGAGAACTTCACTGCTGACAAGTCCACGGAGAGCATCCAACCCATCATGGCAAAGTGCAAACTCGAGGGCACCCAGTGGTCAATCCAAGGCAAGAGCCCCGCTAGACGCTTCGTGGCCCAGTTTTCGGGGGGCGCCAATGCCGCCGCCAGGAAGGTTCGCCCCTTCTACGCCAAGCTCAAGGAAGCAGATGGCACCTGGATCAACGCCGAGGTCACCAACGTCCACGGCCACGCCTCGCGACTCTACCTGGGTCTGGACCGCTCAGCGAGGTCGGCAAGACGAGAGCTCCAGACCAAGAAGCTGGCTCAGTTCGGCCGCGAGCTCGCACCTGATAAGCGCGGGCGGGCTGACCCACAGCAGGGCATCATCTACTGCGACAACATGCCAGTCGTATCGGTGGTGGTGGGTGCCACCCGAGAGACTGGCTCGCACCTGCTCTTCAACTGCGACGGCTGCTGCACGCGCGACATCGAGAGGGAGGCCGTCAAGAAGTGGTTCGAGGAGTTCTTCCAGACCACGTTGGAGGAAAGGGAGGTTCAGTGGCGGATTTAGCCGTGCCTTGGCGCCTTGGCGGGCGCCTCACTCCCTCTGCAGCGTCACGTTCTCGACTTGGAATGCCCGCGCTCTTCTCTGCAACAACGTGCAGCAGCGCAAGCGCGAGACCCGCTGCATGAACGAGGTGCTGCGCTCCTCGTCGCTGCTGGCCCTCCAGGAAGCACACGGCTCGCACGCTGAACTTCTTCACGCTGCACACTTGGTTCACATCGAGGCGGCGGTCTTCTCGTCGATCCCTGAGCGCGGCACCGGTGGAGTTGCAATCATTGCGCCTGGCCTACCGCAGTCCACGGTCGACGACCCCACGCGCTTTACACACGCGGAGATCGTCCCTGGCAGGGCGCAACGATTACTCATCAAGACTAGCTCGGCCCCTGACGATGCCCTCCCGAATATGGTCGTCGTCTACAACGTCCACAACTTCAGGCCCACTGAGCAACAGGTCACGAGGGTAACTCGTTCCCTTCCGCGCTGAAGTCCCAACGGCTGAAGCGCAGCCCGAGCGGATCACGGTCATCGCCATGGGCGACTTCAACTTCATGGGCGAGGCACCGTTGGAGATGCAGGCGCCATTGATCAACAAGGGGCCCCCGCGTCTTCGCCGGCACAATCCTGAGCATCAGCTGGCGCGGGAACCAGTGCTGCAGGAGATGACGGAGATCGACCCTGAGGTTCCCACCCACTGCACCGATCAGTCGCAGCAGTGCGCATCGACAAGATCTACATCAGCACGCCGCCGTGGATGCTACTGCAGTGGTGTGCTCGAGCTGACGTCCCGACCGATCGCGCCTGGGGAGCTCTACGACCGTGGCATATCGGATCATGCGCCTGTCCAACTCCGCTTCGCCGGGCACAATCCTGAGCTCGATGACCAGAACCAACCGAGTCCGAAGTACATATTTGAGAGCCCGCTATTCGAACAATACAATGGCATCCTGACGGAAGTCTCCCCATGGCGCGACTATGACCCCTTCGCGCAGCTGAGCGAGATCAAGCGCCTGCAACGCGAAGCTGCTCGCCTCACACGCATCGACCTCACCAACTCAAGAGCCCCCTGTACTGCGGCGGCGCTCGCTACATGCCGATCGATCTCTAGAGCTGCATGGGGGAATGACCTGAAGGCGGCGCGCGCGCTTCATGCTCGCACGGCGCTGGGAGCAGAACACCTGGACATCACGGACACGAACAACACCTCCCTTCAGGACCCGATCGCCTTCCGCAGAAAGTTCGAGGAACTCCAGCTCCAGTCCCAGGCACAACGCTTGGAGGCGATCCACACACAGGAGCAGTCGGCCAACGCCCCTGCTCGGGAACGACTGCGCCTTCGCAAGATGCAGCGGGCGATCACACGGCGCGGCAAGTTGTGGGCCCCCGCTGGCAAGGTGCTGAAGCTCAAGGCACTCGAGGTCTTGTACGATCACTCCAGGACGACGAACCCCGACGAGATGATAGCGGAGCTTCAGAAGCAGTGGGCGCCTGTCTTCTAGTCCAGACTGAGCCGCACCAAGCATGTCATGCGATACCTGGCGAAGCACGTCGTCCCGTTCGACTGCTCGGACATGGACATCCCCACGATCGGTAAGATGCGCTGGCTCATAGCCAACCTGAACATTTCTGCCCCTGGACCCGACGGCCTCCCCTACATGGCGTGGAAGCGGACGCCCATGGCATCGGAGATCCTGCTGAACGTCACGATCGCGAGCATGAAGGGTTCCCCTGTTCCCCTCGACTTCAACGAGTCGCTCTTGGTGTTCACGCCGAAGGGCTCGGAGCCCGAGGATAGCCAGACCGCGTTTAGGGCCAGACCGCGTTTAGGCTGGCAAAAGCGGCGCGACCATTCTCTCTCAAGAACACAGACTGCAAGATTGCCGCGGCCATAGGCAATTTCTTGACGAAACCGACTGTAGCCAAGCAGGCGCGCCACGCGCAGAAGGGCTTCCCCCCGCAGCCGCGCTTCATCGAGCACATGGTGATGATGGACGCGCAGTCGCGCATCGTTGCGATGAAGCCGAAGGTTCAGGAGCGCGACCCGCTGATGATAAAGTTCGACTTCGGCGACGCCTTCCCCTCAATGTGCCGCGCCTTCCTGCGCGCGGTCCTCACCCTCGGCGGCTTCCCGCCATCTATCCTCAACATGGTCGACGCCATCTACCTTCTCCCGCCGGCCTGGACCAACCTGGGTGGCAATATCCAGATATTATGCTGGCTGGCTTCTGGTATATTGCAGGGCTGTCCGTGGTCTGGAACGCTGTGGGTAGTCGGCATGGGCCCGCTGATCCGCGACATGCTCGACCGCGCGCGCCACTTCAAGCAAGCTGTCATCTGGGTGTGTGCGGACGATTGTCGGGGCGGTCCTACCATCCATGCAGATGCTGAAGCCCCTGAGCAGCGCGTTCTACGCGGCGGAGCAACTGGCCCGCCTGGTCCTCAAGACGGTGAAGTGCAAGATCGCGCCTCTGGCGGAGGCGTTTTCAATGGAGCTGGCTGACAGAGCCAGACAAAAGACGAAGCTGCTGGTCCCTCGCTGGTGCGACATGCAGATCACCCCGATGGCCGAGTACTTGGGCGTGTGGCTCGGTCCAGCGGTGACGAATGACTTACGCTGGCAGAAGGTGGTGGAGGGCTGGAAGGTGGTAACCAACGCGATCGCGGACCTCGGCGCGCCGACCAGCACCAGCCTCATGCTATACAACCAACGTGCGGTCTCGAAGGCCTCTTACTTGGGTCAGCTGCTAGACCGGCCTCAACATCTCCGCAGGCAGGAGTCGTGGCTGCTGCATCGTATCTGGCATCTGCCGCCCCAGTCCTTGCGTCGCACGGACCTGCTGGGGATCGGCAAGTGGTCCAGGGCCCTGAAGGCGACGTCGATGGGGCTGTCCAACTTCTCGTCTCTCATCATGAGCTCGAAGGAAACGGTCCAGAACTGGGCTTTGTGGTTGAGGAGGCCGACGAAGACAAGGACTTGACCTTCAATCACTTCCCGAACAGAAATAACATGGCGCCGACCCACTGGCTCGAACAACCCATTGCCAAGAACCTCAAGGAGGCGGCCCACGGTTTCGTGGAGCGCGGCGACGAGGTGCCCTCTGCATGTGTGGACGCCCTTCGTGAGTGGCGGCGTACTGTGAGACAAGCCACCGTAGATTGCGCCCCACGCCCTCGTCTGCAGCGTTTCATACACTCTCACCTTGTCTCCTCGCTCCTCGAGCCCCCCCTCGCCTCTACCCTCCTTTCTTGTCTGGAGTCTTGGGGGCCTCCTGGGACCGAGCCTCTGCATGGCCCCATCGAGTGGGAAGCAGTCCTGGAGCTTTTGAAAACGTTTCCCCCTGCGGGACAGTCAGCCCGATTGAAGACTTGGGCGGGCGGGTGGGCCACCCCCCGCCGACTGCGCCGCTCCACGGGAGACCAGGAGTGCGTTTTCGGATGCTCGCGGCTCGAAGATCCGCACGCAAGAGACACCGTGCCTCACTACGCGGTGTGCTCTCAATTGTGGCACGCTGCATGCACGGTTTGGCACGTGCGCATTCTTGCCCGAGAGTGTCTAGGCGAGAGATTTGGTTTGCGCGCGGGCGTCTCGGCGTCGCCGTACCGTCTGGCGCTGGAGCGGGCAATCATTGCCTTCCACGCGTGCAAGATCCAGCCCAGGCTCCGCCCTGCAGCCTGGGCGCCCCCGAGCACCGCCCTTGATAGTGCGAAGACTGGCCGGGCGATGCTCCTACATGCATACACTGTCCCCGCGTAGGCCTCCGGACCTCTCGAGCGCCCCTTGGTTACGAGTGGCGAAAAGGGGGGCGGATATCCCGGGGGGTAGATAGAATGCAATGTCGTTCAAAAAAAACGAGAATTTTTGTGGCGAGCATTTCCTGCGGTGCTATTGACGCGGCGCAAGTTAATTGGCGCGACATGTGTTGCGCCATCTACGTGGAACAATATATGCGGTGCACTTCGCCCTCCCCAGCCCGAAATTGTCGACTTCACTGCTCGCGCAATGATCCCACCCACCCACCCGCAACTCAGCTTGAAAAGAAAACAATGCGGCGGCGAATGCGATGACTGCTAGGCGATGGCTGGCGCATCGCTGCGGCCGCGCAAGCGCGCGCATTCCCCCGCGCAGAGCGGCCAACTTGTCTGGCGCGATGGAGTCGGCCACGGTGGCGCTGACCGCCGGGAACTTCCCAGCGCGTCTCGCAGGCTGCGTTCGGGAGCTGGCACTTCGGCGCGCGTTGGTGACTCGGGCGGGAGCAGTATCGCGGCGACGTCGACAACGGCAGACGCGACGCTGATAGTTGCGGTGCTAGCGACGATGATGACAATAACGACGGCAAGGCCAATGACGGCGCCGATGCTGGCCACGCGGATGACGATGGTGCCCGCGCGTCGGCGATGAAGGTTTTGGTGTGATTTCGACATGCGCGCGCGGCCCACAGGCGCGAGTGGCCCGCGTGGTGTCATTTGACGGAGATCCCCTCAAGCACGCGCGCAAGAGCGTTCGAATGATCTCGATACGCGCGCGCGGAAGCCCGCTTGGCCAGATTTGATGGAAAGGTTTGAAGACCAATGGCTTTTTCAAGAATTCGACAGAGCGCGCGCGCAGACCTGCATTGAATGAAAGTTCAAGTTGCAAGACCAACTGTATTATCTGTTATCGGGACACTCGCTTTTGAAGTTGTAACGACATTTGCGTTCTGTGTGGACATCGGCGTGCGCATCGTTTCATCAGATCTTGTGCCAACGATGTTCAAATTGTACGGTTTTTGAAAAGAAAAAACGACTGCGCACGAATAATTTTATTTGACAGGGATGAAGGAGGGGCGATCAGCGGATTGCTTGGGATTGTATGTACGCATGTTTATGTGAACGATGGGGCAGAATCCTATACGAAAATTATACGAATTCACAGCCCGTTAAGTTTTGGGGGCTGGGAAGTCAGTCCAAATTCGATTCGAAAGTGAAAAATCCGCGCGGTGAATTTAATGTATGTTCGCGGTGGGTCGTCAACTTCATTGCCCGAACAAGCACCCCGCCAACTTGCCCTCAGTTTGATTTGCAAAACCCATGCAGCGGCGATTGCGGTGAGTGCTCGGCGCCGGCCGGCGCACTTGTGCAGGCGCGCTATCCCGCGCGTGTTCGCGCGATCAGCGGCCACTGAGCTCGGTGCGACCGACTCGACTGCGGTGGCGCTGACCCGTGGGCAGTTCCCAGCGCGTCTCGCAGGCCGCGCTGACGCGCGGGCACTTCAGTGCGCGTCGGCGACGTGGGCGTTCGTTGAAACATGGAGACGTCAGCAAAGGCAAACGCGGTGATGATTGTAACGATGGTGGTGACGATGTTGACGACAACGGCGGCAAGGAATGACGGCGCCGATGCTGATCGGGCCAGCGACGAAGACGGCACCCTCGCGTCGCCAATGAACGTTGCGATAACGATTCCGACACGCGCGCGCGCGGCCGACGCGCGCGAGTGGCCCGCATGATTTTATTGACAGGGATCGCGCCCCGCCCCCCCGCCCCCAGCACGCGCGCAGGAGCGTTCGAATGATTTCGAAATGCGCGCGCGATGGGGCCCGGTCGGATTTGATGAGAACGCAGAGAAATCGATGGTTACCGTTAGATTTCGCAACAGAGGGCGCAGACCTTTCTTTCGATAACTTAAGATTGCAAACCCATGTGTGTTATATGTTGTCGGAACACTCGCTTTTGAAATCCTTGGGAAACCAAGGGTTTTTGATGGATTCCAGCACGCGCGCGACGACGCGCGCGCGTGCACTTCTCCACATCTTGTGCAAGGGACGTGTGCCAATACATGATTTCCATAGGCTCGCGCCACATCATCCGACCCCTGGTTTTCTCGTCCACGGGTCCGCCTACCACAGGTTCTCTGTAAGCCGCGGGAGAGTCGGGCGTCTCTGATTCCGGCGCAGCGAGGAGGACGGCCCAAGTGGGCCGCAAATGGGCCCAGGAGGTTTTGAAGGCGGTCCAAGCGAGCACCAACACAGCCCAGGGAGGGTTCCACAGAACCCCAAGAGGCCTGGGGCGCCTTGGGGCTATCTTCGAGGTATGCTGCACTGTCTTGGATGTTGCGGGAAGAAGTGCGCGTGTGAAGATGGACGGCGGGTATAGGACGGAGGGGGGAGGAGGAAGAGAACTAGTATAATATGGAAACAGAGAAGGATATGACGACGACGACGGTTACGACGACGACGATGACGACGACGAAATGTTGATGGGACCGTCGTGAGAGGTCTGTCGGAGGCCTCGTGGAAGCAGTGTTGAGGCCACCTGGAAGCTGTCTTGGAGCCTCTGTTTGGCCTCTGTGGAGCCTCTTGGGCTCTTATCTGGGCTGTTTTTCTGAGTTTCTTGGGGCCTCTTGAGGGTTTCATGGGGCCTTCCGGAGCTCTGTAGAAGCGTAGAGCATGGATTTTCGGTTCGGGTTCCCGCTTTTGGGCACCTCTTGGGGGCTGTCTTGGGGCTCTCTGTGCCGTCATGGGTACCTCTTGGGCTTTCTTGAGTCCCTTTTAGCCTGTCTTGGGCCGTCTTGGGGGTCTCGTGGGCTGTCTTGGAGCGGTCCTGGGAGCGTCGCTTCCACGTGAAATCCGAAACGTCGCTTATGCGAAAAAAATACGTTTTCCGAAGGGGGATTGGACAAAGTATGCCTCTTGGGGCCATCTTCGGAGGCCTCATGGAGCCTGCTTGGAGCGTCCTGGAGGCATCTTGGGCCGTCTGGAAGCTATCTTGGGCGTCTTGGAATGATTTTTCAGTGACTCGGGGCTCTCATGAACCGTCGTGCGAGCCTCTTGGGGTCCTCTAGGGTCGTCGGAGAGCCCTCTATCCCCCCATGATGCGTTCCTCCCTGGCATGGGTGCGTTCGTACCGGACGAGGGGGAAGGGGGGGCGGGAGGGAGGGGGGGCGGGGGGGGAATGCCAGTTTGGGGTCCCGAGGGGGGCAGTTAAGGGAGGGGGGGGGAAGTTTCGCACGCCTAGTGACCCACAAGGGGCTGGCGGATTTGTGATAAACAAGTGCGCGCGCATAAATGTGTTTTGCAGAGGATGGCGCGGGGGGGTCGATACTGCCTGGGTTGGGATGGTGTGGGCCCATTTTTTCGATGGACGTTGGGGCAGAATCAAATTTACATTGCAGTGCAAAAGGCGGGCGGATAATCCCGTGGGGGGGGTCGGCCCTAATCTTTTTTGTGGGACAGGACAACACGCCCTGCCGAACTTAATTTGTTTGATTCCACGGCTCGCACAACCATGCCACCCACCCACCCACCCACCCACACGCAATTCGGTGTTTCCAAAACCCACGCGGCGGCGATTGGCATGAATGCTTGGCGCTGACGTCGCATCGCTGCGGCCGCGCTAGCGCGCGCATGTTCGCGCGCAGAACGGCCCGTTAGACTGGCGCGACCGACGCGGCCGCGGTGGCGCTGACCGCTGGGCACTTCCCAGCACGTCTCGCAGGCCGCGCTGACGCGCGGGCACATCATTGCGAGTCGGTGACTCGGGCGGGCGCAGTTTCATGACGACGTCGACAACGGCAGACACGAGGATGATAGTAACGATGGTGGTGACGACGATGACAATGACGACGGCAAGGCCAATGACGGCGCCGATGCTGATCGCGCCGGCGACGATGACGGCATCCTCGCGTCGCCGATGAACGTTGCGAAAAGGATTCTGACACGCTCGCGCGGTCGACGCGCCCGAATGACCCAGTATTATTTGACAGGGATCATTCCCCCCCCCAGCACGCGCGCACGTTCCTTCGAATGATTTCGACATGCGAACGCGACAGGCCCGTCTGGTCGAATTGACTGGACGAGAACAGTGCAAAAAAACCTATGGCATTTCACAATAGTTCGCAAGAGCGCGAGCGCATGTTTTTTTGATTGCGAAGTCACGGTGTCTCGATATGTTGTCCGGGCATTCGATGTTGAAATATCTGCGAAACCCTACGTGTTTGAAGGATTCTGGCAGGCGGTAGCGACGTCGCGCGCGCGTGCACTTTGTCCCGTGTTTTTTTCAAAGGGTTCTTGCGACAGCACGCGCACAAAGTTGTTCGAATGATGTCGGCATGCACGCGCGATTTGCACGTTGGTAACAGTGACAAGTGATGAAACGATTGGGGAAATTAGTTGCTGACTTCGCAGGAACGGGAGCGCAGGCTTTCTGTCAAAATTCATATTGTGAAACCTCATGTTGCCAATCCATTGCTTTGCATATTCTCGGGACACTTGGTTTGGGAATCCGTACAAGACAGCAGGTTTGTGACGGCACGCGCGCGCGACGAGGCGCGCGTGCGCACTTCGTCCCGTTTGTTGCAAGCGACGTTTGCACATACATGGTTTGTGATAAACGAGAGTGCGCGCATAGTATTTTTCGCTGGGGCCGGATCATATACGAAATACAATACGATACGAAAAGGTGCACTGCCAAGTCCGGGGGGCGGGGGAGGTAGATTTCAAGATTCTTTTATGAAAGCGAATCTTGATTTTGACTTCTTCGCGCGTGACTACCTCCCATGCTCGCGCAAACATCGCACCCACCCGCAACTTGGTTTGCAAAACCATGCGGCGGCGATTGCGTGACTGCATGGCGCTGGCTGGCGCATCGCTGCGGCTGCGCTAGCGCGCGCATGCTTGCGAGCAGGGCGGCCTGCTAGTTCGGTGCGACCGACGCGGCCGCGGTGGCGCTGACCGCCAGGCAGTTCCGAGCACGTCTTGCAGGCCGCGCTGACGCGGTGGCACATCAGTGCGAGTCGGTGACTCGGGCAAGTTCGGTTTCATGGCGACGTCGACAACGGCAAACACGATGATAATTGTAGCGGTGTCGGTGACGTCGAGGAGAATGACGATGGCAAGGCCAATGACGGCGCAGATGCTGATCACGCCGATGACGACAATGATGTCCACATGACGGCAACGAAGGTTGTGAACAGATTTCGGCATGCGCGCGTGGCCGACGGGCGCGAGTGGCCCACATTGCAGTACTTCACAGGGATCGCGCCCCCCTCCCCCCAAGCATGCGCAAAGGTGTTCGACTGATTTCGACATGAACGCGCGAGAGGCACGTTTGGCAGCATTTTATGAAAATGTTGAAAACTTGATATCTAAAACATGCAAGAACGCGCGTGCAACCCATTGTTTGAAACATCGTGTTGTAACACCGTTGTGTTGTATATGGATTCCGGACATTCGCTGTTGAAATCCTGGCGAAACTATGAGGTATATGAGCGCGACGGCCCTGATGTTGTCGAAGGATTCTTGCGAAGAAATGATTGTATAAACGAGTGTGCGTGTATAGCGCTTTTTCTGCAAAGGATGAAGGGGGATTACCGGCTTGGCTGCGAGCATACGAATTCATTCTTAGTATGAACGATGGGGGAAGATCATATGTGGGTTGCAAATCCTTCGGGGGGAAGCGGATAAGTCCGGCCACGGGAGGGTGGTTGACCCTAATTTTTATTTTAGAAGGGATGATACATGCAGTGCAATCTACGTTGTGTAATTTAGGCGGCGACGGGGCGTCGACGGGACGACAATGGCGAGCACGGAGCCGCCAGACCGACATTCAGGCCCAGACGATGTGTGGCGACGAGGCGGCGACGGGACGACCACGGCCAGCACGGAGCCGCCAGACCGACATTCAGGGCCAGACGACGGGCGGCGACGAGGTGGCGACGGGGCGGCGGCGGGGCGGCGGCGGCGGGCACGGAGCCGCCAGACCGACATTCAGGGCCAGCTCTGTAGAAGGGAAGTAAGAACCCCCAGGTGCAAGTACCGCAAGCACCGTGCAGGGAACACCCTAGTGGCCAAGACCGTGCTCTCACCCTCGTTCCGGATGCATCTCAGATGCTCAGGAGTGCCCGTTTTCACCAGCCGACTTCCTGCTCCTCGACCCGACTCTTCGCCTTTGTCGCCATTCGTGTGTTCCGCTGGGGCCCACGTGGACCCTTTGGAGGCCTCTCGTCGCCACGGCTGGCTCCGCCTCGAAGAACGGCTCGGGATGGACCCTGGCAGCGGACCGGGGCCTGACTCAGAGCGCATCTGGGCCGGGCGGCGTGCCGCCGTGGTCTCAGCCGGCCCTCGCCCGACAGGTGCGGGCGCGGTACGGTGAGCTCCTCAACGACGACGGCTCCCTCAACGTCATGACCTCCGTGGCCGGCCAGATCAAGGGCCACAACCCGGAGGCCCCGTGTCAGCCGGACGTGGCGGAGCAGCGGGACGTGCTGACGCTCAGCGGCCGGCCAGGCGGCGACGACTGGACCCCTTCCTGGACCTGGCACGCCTTCCGCTACGTCGAGCTCACGTTTCCGTCGGCCGTGTCCCTCGGGCCTCACAGTGTCGAGTGCTATCCGATGCGATCGGACGTGGATCGGGTCGCCAACTTCACGTCCTCCGACCCCTTCCTGCAGGAGCTCCGGGAGGTCGTGCGCAACACCTTCGACTCCAACATGATGTCCGTGCAGAGCGACTGCCCGCACCGCGAGCGCTTCGGCTACGGGGGCGACGCGCTCGCGTGCGGCGAGTCGGGGCACCTGATGTACGACTGGTCCGCGTTCTACGCCAAGCGGGTGCGGGACTTCTGTAGAAGATGGATCTGCACTCGATGCCCTCAGTCGCCAGCGAAATGCAGAGGATACATACAGGGAGCATCGTGCCACCTTTCGAGCAAGAGCTGGATCCAAATCCCAGACGATGGTACCATCCAGGTGGACCATGCACGAGGGTTGTGGCTGCGGCCAGAAACTTGCCGCCAACCTGAAATCCAAGAATGAGCAACGGCATGCCAGCTTAACGATCTGGATGGCGGCTTCTGTCAGATGAAGCCCTTTGGGGGGAGCTGCTGCTCTCCATGAAGAAGCCGTTGTACGGTCCACCAAAGCTGGTCATAGAAACGCCGTGGGTTGAAGACCGATTTCACCTCCACAGCCACGTTGAGGGCAACGCCCTTCTGTCCCTCGGATGGTCATCGTGTCACCCCCCACGCACGCCTGGCTAAATGCGCCACCAGCATGTGGAGTGAGAACCGACGACCTTCCAATGAAAATAAACATCGTGCCAAGCACCGAATTTTGACTCCCAGTGATAGTAGGCCAGGGCTCCTGCACTTGGCGAACAGACCTTCGTCCTTTGCGAGCTAGTGTTCACCATCCCACGCAGGGCGCCAATCAAACAACTCCGTGCGAGGATAAATCATCAAAGTGCAAAATATCGACTGGTGACTCCAGGTGATGGTAGGCCAGAGCTCCAAACAACCACGTGCAAGGTGAATTCTTCGAGTTTCAGCCGCCCCCACACTGTGGGTGGATGGTGCTTTGCAACTCGACTGGCACTGTCACGAGCCTGCACGTCAAATATTGTAGGACCTTCGCCACCGCCCCTGCGTAACAGATGGCGAAGGTGACTGGTAGAAAAATCTGCCACGGTGCTGTCGTGGTTGGGGGATCGTTGCTGGGCATGCTGCCCCATCGTATGTAGAACGTCATCTGCCGCCTCTCTCTCTCTGAACCCGTGAGAGGTGCGGGACTTCAACGACGCCCAGCGCGTGATCGCCGGCGGGGCGCCCGCCGCCTTCCCGGAGACGGCGCCCTTCGTGGGCATCAGCGCGGGCGCGCTCGCCCCGGGCGCGGGCCCGATCGGCTGGGAGGCGTTCCAGCCGGAGGCGCAGCTGTGGCTCTACAAGTACTACGGGGACGTCCAGACGATGAGGGAGAGCTTCAACGCGACGCGCGCCTTCGTCGAGCTGCTGGACTCCTCCCCGGCGGCCATCCTGGAGGGCCTGGGCGACTGGATGGCTGTGGAGAGCACCAGCTCTCGCTTCACGGGCCCCGTCTTCCAGCGCATGAGCTACCTGGCCTTCGCGAACATCACCGACATCCTCGGGATGCCAGAGCTCTCGATCGAGTACCGGCGGAAGGCAGCGGCCATCGACGAGGCCCTGAACGTGCAGTACCTGAACAGGTCCAGCGGCGAATACGTGGCCTCCACCGACGGGCGGCTTCCCACCCAGTGCGGGCAGAGCATCGCGCTCTTCATGGGCATCGCGCCCGAGCATGTGATCGTTTTTGTTAGTCATTGTTTTGCCGATTGGCGCGGGCCCTCGCACCCCCCCCTCTCCCCCCCATGGAGTAGATCTTGGCTGTGTTGGGGCGCCTGCTTCGAGCAGGTGGCGTCTCCCCCACAGGACGCACTGCTCCAAACATTCGCACTAAGCAGGGGTCCAGAGCCAGACCCCCCCTCGCAGGCCTAGAGGTTGACACCAACACCAAGACCGGCGGTGTGCCTCCACCGAGGGAAGACGATCCCGATCTCGGTGATGGTGGTAATATTATGGCTTCTAAGGTGACCGAAATATTACCACCAACACCGAAATCTAGGATCATCTTCCCCCTGTGGAGGCAACCACCTGAGCTGGTGTTGGTGCCAATTTCCAGACCTCCAACCCCCCCTCTCCCCCCGACCCTCCGCCCAATGTCGAAACGCCGACTACGAAAACGCTCGCCATCTGAGAGAGCCCGTCCTGCGCGTGCTGGAGCGGGAGATGCACTCCGCCGCCTTCCTGCCCGGGGCGTGCCGGGGGGACTCCTTCGGGGCCCCCTGCAGGGAGGCGGCGGGCGGGCCGGGGCCGCACATGACCGTGGGGATGTTCTGCGCGAGGAGCTCAGGAGGACGTTGCTCCCTCCTGCTCCTGCTGCTCCTCCTCCTCCTCCTCCTCCTCCTCCTCCTCCTCCTCCTCCTCCTCGATCGGGTCGCCAGTCCGCCGATCGGCATGGGGCGCATCGGCTGGTCGGGCATCTCGGTCGGCGGAGTGCTTCGCGCCCCGGGGGCGGCCTGGCCTGGCACGGGTCGGGGCGGGGATCGGGCGGTGGATCAGCGCGGGGCCTCTGAGGTGAAGTGGCTGCTGATGAGCTTGGCGGACTCGGGCATGAACGACCTCGCCTACCAGGCGGTCTCGACGAGGACGTATCCGAGCTTCCGGTGGATGGCGGGCAACCCGTTCAGTAATGCCACGACCCTGTGGGAGTCCTGGTTCTTCTCGGACAGCGTCTTCTCGCACAACCACCCCATGTTTGGCTCCAGCGAGGCTCGAAGAAGAAAAAGTTGCATGAGCATAAACTTTCGACGGTCCGCGCGGATTTCTTGGATCTGTGCTGGGGCCTACTGTGGCGGTGCCTCCGGCACCGCCCCTGGCGCGCTAGGGGGGGGGTCCCGCGCCGATCCGAGAAACCCGCGCGGACCGTCGAGAGGGGGGGGGGTCCCGCGCCGATCCGAGAAATCCGCGCGGACCGTCGAAAGTTTGAGCTTATGCCTTTTTTCTCTCGGCGGCGAGCGAGGGAGGGAAGTGAGAAGGAGAAGGCCTTCCCAGAAGGTTCGGAAGTCCCCCGGCCTTCTGAGAAGTACTCTAAGCCTTCCCCGAAGACACAGGAGGCCTCTCAGAAGGCGCGAGGGCTTCTGAGAAGCCCCGCCGCCTTCTGAGAGGGCCTTCTCCTTCTCGCTTCCCCCCCCCCGCTCGCCGCCGCCTCCCTCCTCCAGAGGTCTGGCTGATCCAGGCCGTGGCGGGAGTCCAGCCCCACCCCGCCGCCAGAGGCATGCACCGCGTGATCCTGAGGCCGTCGCCGCCCACGGCGCTGCAGCACGCCGCCGCCTCGCTCGCCACGCCCCGCGGCACCGTGGCCGTCTCCTGGGCGCGCCGCCCGGGCGGCAGGCTGCTCCTGAACTGCACCAGCCTGGGCCTCCCAGGCGGTGTCGGAGTGCAGGTGGCGTCGGAGGAGCGCGCCGCATCGCCGAGGCGTCGCCGCGGCGGCTCGACGTGGGGCCCGATCTGCTTCGCGTCAGCGTCGCCGAGGCATCGCCGACGTCGACGAGGCATCGCCGGCGCATCACCGATGCACCGCCGCTGCATCGCCGGTGCATCGGCGATGCGGCGAGAACCTCCGACCCCATCTACTCGGACCCCATCTGGGAGGCCTCGGACCATCCCCAGACCTCCTGCGCCTCGAGAAGCTCAAGGGCGGAGAGGTTTCTCTCGGCCGTGCGCCTCTGGGGGCCCTCGCCGGGCCCCAGCGTCCTAACAAAAAACGGCTCGGGGTGACGAGAGGCCCCAGAGGGGAAAGGTCCAGGCTTCTGGGCTTCTAGGGACCCCGCAGTGAGGAACTCCCGGCGTCGGATGTCTGGGTCCGGAGGAGAGAAGCAGCTGCACGAAGCATGCAGTCGAGACGCTGACACGAGGGCCGCGTTGGGCTCCGGAGGGGCTCGGGTCGTCGGGCCGCTCCTTGGGTCTACGTCGGGGAAGCTGGTCGTGGCCGAGGCTCGCCGTGGCCAGAGAAGCCCCTTCGTTCCTTCTCGCGCGTCCCCTGTGGTAGCGCGATGACCGCATCGTGCTCCCACCTCCTTCTCCTCCCCCCTCCTCCCTCTTCTCCTCCTCCTCCTCCTCCTCCTCCTCCGCCTCCTCCTCCTCCGCCTCCTCCTCCTCCTCCTCCTCCTCCTCCTCTCCCTCCTCCTCCTCCTCCTCCTCCTCCTCCTCCTCCTCCTCCTCGTCCTCGTCCTCCTCCTCCTCCTCCTCCTCCTCCTCCTCCTCCTCCTCCTCCTCTTGCGCTCTTGCGCTCCTCAGCAGTCGTCCCGATTACACAAGACGCCTGCCCGATCGAAATGACAAACAGAAAGTCAGCGCCCGAGGGGGGCAGGGACAACCGCCTCCAGTTTAGAGTTCGAGGGATCCTTCCCCTGCTTCAAAATCCCCAAGCCTTTGGCTTTCCATTCGGTGTCGGGCTGTTCCGAGCACCTCTTCGCTAATTCCTTGACCTTTGAACGGGCATACGCTCCACAGTGCACGCACCAGGTCACTCCTCCACTCTGCCAGAGACGATGGGTGGGGTCTGCCTGGGAGACAACCCTCGAGATCCCAAGACAGGGCAGCTGCACCAGCCGAGAGCGAATCGCCCGCGAAGCACCACAGACACTGCACCCCCACCCAACGCCAGGAGCCTGCGAGACAACGTGACCTCTATCATCTGGGACTATCTCGAGAAACGGAGCCTCCGAATTCTTAGGCTCTCTTTTGGCACGCTCAGAGTATGAAGACACATACAGATATCCCAGATGATGGACATGCTTGATAAAACGCCACCATATATTTGGAGATAAGCGTAACTTGATCATGATGATGTCGGAGGCGGTCACGGAGATGATGGTTTGCTGGATGCGCCTTGGCACCCCGCTTGGCCCAGGTATATGCTTCCTGGTCGCCCCTGAACCAATGAGGCTCGTGGCCTCTCTGCTCTGCTGCCGCCTTCGACATATGCGAAGGCATCCAACTCACAGTCACTGAATTGATCCTGCACCAGATCGAACGCCAAAGCTCTGCGTAGCACTTGTTGGATGTTACCGTCCCCTCCCTTCCCGTGGTCCACCCGCCATACACCATATTGAAACCGTAACGCTGTGGATGCTAGGCCCCATAAGACACAAGGCCATGTAGAAAGCGTACAGCTCGCTGGACGGAACGTCCTGCACTGGGAGAGGAGAAGGCCCATAGGCCACCGCATCAATCTCCATGTTCGGGCGGATGGAAACCAAGGCCCAACCTGCACGGAGAAGCGACCGACTACCGCCATCGTAGGCCGAGCCGTCTATGCAGACGGTGCTTCCTAACAAGCCACTGGTAGGCTGGACCGCCCACCGATACTCAGCTCCTTGAAGGATTCTTGGGAAACTGGATCCTCTTGGAGTCTACACGGGCCCTCGTTCACATGATGTCGGGCTCCGTCAGGGCCAGCGCAGCGGCACCCATCCCACTATGATCATGACCCCTCCTGAGCAGCTGTGAGCCATCGCAGCCCCATATCCTATGGTACACCGTCCCCTTCTTCTAGAGGCACCACTGGCACCGATCATCAACTGCATACCGGTTTCTGAACACATCGCCCCGAGTCCAGAGACATCCAGAAACCTGCGCGATCAGCAGACTGACCCCAAGATGATATCCAAGATCCCTTAACGTAGCAAATTCAGCACGTAGGAGCTCCACATATGGCTCCCAAAAAACATTGTAATAAACACCAGCACGTATACGCAGCAATCTCCTGGTCGCTTCATCAGCTAGGGTCTGCACGGTCCTAGGCCCAACTTCTTTGACGTCAATGGTCACCCCGCCCGTGTTGACCCAAACGTCCCAGGAAACGATTTCCCATTCCAGTCTCTGCAGCGTGAGGACAACAGCTCCTGCGGGGCCTAGGACCGTCCTCCCTTGAGGCCTAACCTTGACCGCGTAGCCGAAGGCATTCCTCTGGGCGTCGGTCGCCCAAGATTCAAAAACTGCTCTGACCCACGTGTGCAACGGTAAAGCATTGGCCGCGAACGACGGGTCGAGCTTCTCGACCTCGGCCAACAGGAACTGCAGACTGCGACAGCGGCCCTTGACAGGCCCGAACAGCGCTGCCCCGTAGAGGCGCGCTGTTGCTCCAACTGGTTGTTGCCGAGCCCCACGACGGAGGACCCCGTACATCACAGCTGGTGTGGCTCCTCCACGATAAACATTCTGAAGGGACTTCCTGGAAAACCTGAAAGCTCGAAACCTGCGAATCCTGCCTCTGGTAGTCGACAATCGCTTTTGTTTGTGACAGTCCTACCTTTCCCGCTTCTTAACTTGAAATCGGCACCGCGGTTTTTGGTCGCCTGAACTTGCTTGAGCCCGAACTCACGGAGCGCCCAACACAGGTCCTTCCCCAGGCGCGGGTCAGAGGCCACCAGGATCGATTATGTTGCGGGCAACTTTTAACTCCAGCTTCCCAAGTTGCCTACAAACGAACAACGTACATCTGGCCAGTTGTCTCTGAACGTACTTCTGATCACCCACGGGCTGGAGCCCCGTGTCGCCAACCATCAGAGAAATGCCTATCCTCGGCATCTGGTTGGCCGCCGAGTCGAACACATCTAAAAGAACTACCTTCAGCAACGTTGTCGCGCATGAGCAGCCTGCCACAATCGTGGTGTTCAGCTCTAAGGGCATAGAGACTGCCTCGCCGACTCTAATCACTCGCCTGCCCGAGTAGACCAAAAGCAGAAACCTCAACCTCCTCAAACTGAAACCGTGCTTCCTGCATGCCTTCACCAACTGTTCATGCGTGATGCGTTCGTACGCCTTCTCTAAACCGATCATCGTGCATCCACTGAAAAACTCACTGGCTAGGGCGGCCTCATTCATCAGGGCCTGCTTCCAGATTGCCATCTCACAACTCTTGCCTTTGCTCCCGTACATGTACGCGCGCGCGCTTGTCCTCCCAGCCTTCAGCCTCCTCATGCCGTAACCTGCTGTAAAGCCGCACAGGTGTAGAGACGATCCCGATGGGCCTCCTCCCTCTTTCAGGCTTCTGCAGACAGGGCAGAATGAGCAGAGCGACCTGCTCGGGCAACTGGGTGCACGTGCCCCGCAGGTACATCAGAACACTGAGGGCAAGCAAACCAGACGAACAGAGCTGCTCGAGCGCGTGCGGCGCCCAATTACAGACACCTACAGCCACATGCTCCTCGAACTCCCCCAAAACGGACCTGACTTTCTCAGGCGAAACAGGTGGCTTCGGGTCCTCGAAGGGCATCTCACTGGGCCACTTGTGGCCGAGCCTGGGCACCTCCCCGAACCTCCAGATGTGCTTCCACCCCTCCTCCAAGGCCTCCACCTGGCCCGTCAAACCTCCAGGGGCCCCATCGAGGCCAGGGTCCGAGAGGATCCAGTCGTTGGGCTGCTTCGTCCACTCGCGGGCTTTTCCCCCTCCGTTTTCCGGAGCCTCACGGGCCCATTGTCTCCATTCTTTTTGTCGAGACCTTTTGCAAACCTGCTCTTCGCTCTGGATACACTCAACGTGGTCCTGGATGGCTGCGTGCAGCGCCTCGGCGCGGTTGCCTTCCAGCGACAAATGCTTCTGCCTCCAGATGACCCGGCGCTCGCACTCCCACGGGATCTTGGGCGGCCCCTTGGCTGTCTTCAGCAGGGCTTGCACCTGCTGGCC